TTTAATATAAAAATATAATAAATAATTATATGAAAAAAATGTGATAATGATCGCACTTATGCAGTTTCATCTAAAAAGTAAAATTACTTTTTGATATACATTTTTTCACATTTAAATGTACTTCGTATTAAACCGCATAAAATTTAGTTCACAACATTTATTTAATTAAATTTAAAAAATGATACAAGTATTTATAATGTCACATTATAATAATGATGATATAATATTAAATAAGTAAATATATATAATATTTTAATAAAAGAATGCATATAATATCACTCCAAATAATTGACATAAGTAATTTTATTGTTACATTTTCAATTATTAATATTACATTTTTTGTTTTAATTGATTATTATACTTTTTAATTTATTAAAAAAATTAAGTAATCTAAAAGCATAATAGATAATTATATTAAAAAATATAATATTAATTATTTAAAATATGACAATAACCCACTTAATTGACACACCAAATACCAAAATGCAAATATTTAGTAAGAGTGTATATAATTTATCGTCAAATTCAATTAATGCAACTTTTGTAATTGGTAATTATTAATTTTCAATGAAAATTATGTAGTTGCTAATAATTGATGCACGGTATATCTCAAGAATAGAACTCCAGACTTCAAATTTAAATTTTTAACTTTCTTTTATTATAGCTTTGGTTTTGAATTTATTTTATTTTATTTTTTTATATATTTAGTAAATAGTATTATATTTAAATTAAATTTAATACATGTAAATTTTTATAATAAATTTTGATTTTAAAATTTAATAATAATAATAATTACTAAACGTATACAAAATATCTGCTAATCCAAGTAAAATGTGTTTAATTAGCCACTTTAACTCTGAATTAATCAAAACTTACCAAATCCATGATAAATAGATTGAATTTCAAGAACCTTGAATTGAGAGACCTACAATAGTCTATCAAAGAAACTATATCAATATTGAATAATAACTCAGTCCACTTTATGTACATAGATATTTTTGAATGAATACCAGGTGATGAACTTTATCTTTTGTTTGGTCAAATGGGATCAAGGTTTATCTTCATCCAAACTCATGATTATGAATTCTCTTATTTTAATTTTTTAGTCGAAACTGCAAACACTTCAATCCTATAATTAATTGAATCTATCAATAAATGTACAACTTCAAAAGTTCAAGTAACTACAAAACATGATTAATTAATCATTATACAAACAATGGAAGCCTGGGTAAAGCAGAGGAAATTATATATCCCCCTACTAAAGAAGAGTTGTGAAGATCATTTCAAAGGCTTCCTTTACTGAGAACAGAGTATGCTGGAAAGCAAAAGCTTGGAACTGCTACGGGAGCCGAGTGATCTTTAGAGCCTTGAACCTGTTAGTTTTAGGATCATAAGAAACCAGAGCTTTCTTGTTACACTCCAACACAATCTTCGCATCCTTCAGGACACATAAAATTCTTATGAATCTTCCCATCCAGATGGAAGCAAAATCTTCAACCACCATTCCAAGGGGAGCATTATGACACTTGTTACACTCCAACATTGATGCAGGGAAGGTAGGGGTAGAACAAACAGAAACTAAGAACTTCGTAAAATTAAAGATGGAACTAAGAAAACTTAAGTTTTCAATCTCAAGTTTATTCTCAAACTAAAATATCATAACAAAAACTGTTCTTGAAATCTAAGAAGAATAACCATATATACTAGCAAGAGCTAAGAATCCCAATTCAATTCTAATTTGAACTTCTAATAAACTATGACCTTTTAATAAGCTACTAATTCTAATCCTAATTAAAAATGACTTTCCTAAAATTAAAACTTAGACTCCAAGTAAAACTCAAACTTAATGCAAAACAAACAGCCCTAAAACTAATCATTAAAAAGAGCTCTATGCTCCTGCATCAAACACAATCTCCCCTTTCCTCCGAACTGCTTTTCGAGAAAAAGGCAGATAATAGTCAGGTGGGTCTCATTGCCATACAACAGAGGTAATCCATGATGATGAAACTATTACTGATGCATTGATGATCAAAGATTCAACACGAACTAAAAACTAGTAGCAGAGTCTTACAGAAAAAGAGAAGTTAAATTCCAAATTCACGGTTGCTTTTGCTGAGAAAAGAGAAGGTAGAAAAGGAAGTGCCTGGAACTCATTGGGTTCCCCACTCATTTGAAGAGTCTTGAATCTGTTTTCCACATGATCATGAGTATTGAAAATCCTGCATGTGGGCTCAATACAAGGCTTGCATCCAACCTAAAACCAATTGGCGATAGGTGGAGTAGCCCTCCTTGTATTTAACCCACAAGTTTCTTATTTTTATACTCAATGTGGGAAAATCCCACTTAACACGCCCCCTCACGTGCAAGCCCGCTGTGAATGTCGGGTCCTATCACGTGGGTTAACACGCCCCCTTAAATGTAGGCCCGGTATCAACTTCGGGTCCTGGCAAGTGGGTTAACAACGGGCTTCCCATGGTAGAACCTGGGCTCTGATACCATATCGAAAATCCTGCATGTGGGCTCAACACAAGGCTTGCATCCAACCTAAAACCAATTGGCAATAGGTGGAGTAGCCCTCCTTATATTTAACCCACAAGCTTTTTATTTTTATACTCGATGTGAGATTTTCCCATTTAACACGCCCCCTCATGTGTAGGCCCGCTATGAATGTCGGGTCGTGTCACGTGGGTTAACACGCCCCCTTAAATGCAGGCCCGGTATCAACTTCAGGTCCTGTCAGGTGGGCTAAACAACGGGCTTTCCAGGGTAGAACCTAGGCTTTGATACCATGTTGATACAAGGAGAGTTACTCCACCTATTGCCAATTGGTTTTAGGTTGGATGCAAGCCTTGTGTTGAGTCCACATGTAGGATTTTCAATATGATATCAGAGCCCAGGTTCTGCCTTGGGAAGCCCATGTTAGCCCATTTGACAGGACCTGAAGTTGATACCGGGCCTGCATATAAGGGGGCGTGTTAACCCATGTGACGTGACCCGACATTCATAGCGGGTCTACACATGAGGGAGCGTGTTAAGTGAGAAAATCTCACATCGAATATAAAAATAAGAAGCTTGTGGGTTAAATATAAGGAGGGCTACTCCACATATTGCCAATTGGTTTTAGGTTGGATGCAAGCCTTGTGTTGAGCCCACGTGTAGGATTTTCAATATGGTATCAGAGCCCAAGTTCTGCCCTGGGAAGCCCATTGTTAGCCCACTTGACAGAACCCGAAGTTGAAGATACCGGGCCTGCATTTAAGGGGGCGTGTTAACCCACGTGACAGGACCCAACATTCATAGCGGGCCTGCACGTGAGGGGGCGTGTTAAGTGGGAAAATCCCACATCGAGTATAAAAATAAGAAACTTGTGGGTTAAAAACAAGGAGAGCTACTCCACCTATTGCCAATTGGTTTTAGGTTGGATGCAAGCCTTGTGTTGAGCCCACATGCAGGATTTTCAATATGGTATCAGAGCCCAGGTTCTGCCTTGGGAAGCCCATGTTAGCCCATTTGACAGGATCCGAAGCATCACTTACCCAGTTGAGGAACATGGTAGGGAGTCTCTGATCGGCAACTAATGCACGGCCAGAAGAGGAAGTGATCTTGAACTGAACAAGGGAGGTGATGGGTAGTCCCACCAGAACGTTCGATGATCACTCTGAGGGAAGAAGATCCATCCCTTTGCCAGGCAGAAAAAAGGGTTGATTCAAGAGATAGAGTTAAAGTTACAAATTCATGGTTGCTCGTGCTGAGAAAAGAGAAGGTAGATATGGAAGTGCATGGAACTCATTGGGTAACCCACTTATTTGAAACTTCTATAATCTGTTTGCTATGGGATCATAAGACACCAGAACACGGTTACCAAACAGCAACAGAACTCCAGACTTCAAATTTAAATTTTGAACTTTCTTTTATTATAGCTTTGGTCTTGAATTTATTTTATTTTATTTTTTTATATATTTAGTAAATAGTATTATA